CATTAAGCGAGAAAATTAATGTACAAACAAATGAGAAAACGAAAAGAAATTCAATACAAGATAACATCTTGACATGATCACGATCTCCTTTACATTTATATGCAATATAAATGAAACTACGTTTTTTCAATGAAGAGAACAAGTAAAAATAGAAAAAACAATACGGTCATCGAGTAAAATATACATAATCTATGACATTTTTTTATACATCTTCATATTTTCATAGACAAAAGGAACAAAAATATAAGAACTACCTAAACTCCTAGTTCTGGGTGTGATCCATGAAAAAGTATATATTTCATTTCTCACTGTCAAAGCAAAGGATGGCTAACAACAATAAACAACTACAAACTGATACAGATAGATGGCGCTACATCATAATTTACAAGAAATATTTATTCTGTAAGTATAAACTTAACAATTAGATAAGTTTTTGATTAACAAGCCACAATTATATGAACTTCATCCGAAGTGTTTTCAACTTATAGGAGTAATAAAACTCTATGTCCGAATGCCAAAAATCATCTTGAAAAAATTTAAAAAGATGTCTTGGCCAGTTCCAAATTCCGATTCTAAGAGTCTATCTAACTTAAACTTGATTTCTTGGAGTTTTTCTATTTTCAATGTCAGAAGGCTAGAAATTTGAGAATAGATACTCATCAATATGATGAACAGTTTAAAAAGCAAGAGGGTTTTCTCCAATGTCTGATTTCTTCCATTAGGAATATGATTTATTTATGGACAAGATCTATGTTATAATCGTCTTTAAAAATTGTATCCAAGTATCAATTTTTCATGAAGGGACAAAATCAGAGTTGATCGGTGAATACGAAGATTCGGGAGACGTTTTGATTTTTATCTGAACTTCCGAACTTCTCTTACTGAGAAAACTAAGGATTTTGGTAAGAGTATAATTTATATTGCGGATTTTTTTTGTCCTATTCATTTAAAATTATTTCCTTTCATGACCATTGAGTTAAAAGTTGTGTAAAAAAAAAAAAGTCATGCCAAATCCATTTTGAAAAAATTATTGGCAGTAAAAGTGCGTGGTCAACGCTGAATATTATTTTTTTAAAGGTTTGCATAAACAGATTATGTATATTATTTATTCTCCTCGTAAGAATCAATAATTTTTCTCAGTAGAAGTTCAAATAACAATCACAATTGGTTTCTCAAATCTTCATACTCAACGGGCAACTTTTGTTTTATTTCTTCAGAAAAAAATGGCTACTTGGATACAACACCTGAGGACTATCCTGACATAGATTATAGTCATAAGTAAATTGTGTTTCTCATGGAAGTAATACAGCTTCGAAAGCCTTAAAAATATTGAGTTTTCTAGCATTTATTACAATATTACTAATGAAGATTCTTGGATAACTAGTCATTGACCAGTTTTTTTTTAAACAAAAAGATAAAGTTAATTATTCATTGCTTTTTCTCACATAGCAATCATATACAGAATGACAAAAGTGACTCTGTGATTAAATAATTGTCAGCTGGTTTTGCAAACTGTGTTATTGATTTAATTTAAACTAACAAAAAAAATAGATTGATCAGTGTAAACATTTGATAGATTTCGAATGATATATATATATATAATTGTAGTGAAAGTGTATAGACCTTTTATTTGTTTTAAATATGTTTATTTATTTTGAAATTTGTATATAAAAATGCGAATTGATTTGTCAATGATCTGTTGAGTTTGATGGAAGGATTTTATTATTCTTAATATAATTCAACTTAGTTTCTAATTTATTCTTGATTGAATTATTCCATTCATCAATATTAAATTTATATTCACATTCTGTAAATGTATGACCATTGATTTCCATAAGGTTCTTAGAATGTAATTTTAATTCAGCGGTATTCTCACACCATCCTCTCATTTCTTGATTTTTTTCATCAGTTTGCATAATAATATTGTTAATACCAAGTTTTTCAAATGCAAAAACAATTGAAGTATAAAGAGCTTCGGTTGCGTATCCCATTCGCATTGTATTTTTATCTGTAATTATTCCTAAATATCCAGTATCACCATCAATTGTAACAAAGCCTGTTGTTCCAATACATCGATCATTTTTCTCATTCGATGTTGACGATAATAATATTATATTGAAAACACAACTTTTTCCATTGACTCGTTTTTCATTTTGTACTTTAACACGATCAGCAAAATCTTGTTCAGTCCATTGTTTTTTTTCTTTTCGTTCCTCATCATTTCCCCATCCATTGGGTGGTTGAAGAAAAGTAAGATATCTTCTTGAGATTGGATCTGAATAGATCGATGCAAGACTGGCTGTATCATCTTCATGATGAGTTCGAAGAATAAGTCTACCGAGATAACTTTGAACAGTGACATCACTTGTTTTCACTGTTTCATCAAAACCAGTGGCAGTTGAAGAATTCGATGAAATCATAAGATTTAAATCGTCAATTAATTTAAACAAAATTAATTAATTAATAATAAAACAATATAGTCAATAAATAATTTTTGAGTCTACCTTGAAAAATGACAAGTAATTGCACTTTGAATATATTGTGAGAAGCAAAACAAAAAAATAAACTAGTTTAAGGTCGAAAAATAATAAATTGTGTTTTATCGTGAGTCTACAGATAAAAAAACACAACTTATTTGACAAACGACACATTCTGTAGCAATGCGAGATGGAGAGAATCGACGTTTTATTGCAGATTATATTTCAATAAAACAATAGTATTGATCACAGACTAATCAATCTTTTCAGAAAAACAAAGGTCAGCATGTTCTTTCTTTTTTCAAAAGAACGTTTTCAACAATATCAGTCAAAATATATTTCATGTATTTTAGTTACTAAGCTATTAAACTAAATCTTCATAGTTTAGTTTTTGATAAAGACAAGCCTTAAACTTTCGTTTCTATGTCACATTGAATTATGTTTTCAGAAAAACAGGAGATTCAATTTTCATTATTCTACGAAGAGTTCGAGTAAAACTGATTGAGTTCGATTTTCTTACTTTCATACAAAATAAACTTACTTTATTTAATTAATAATAAATAACTATATTCTCGTAAGTTTTACTATTTGCCCTGAGTCAACAATCTCATGCAATGACTATTTTGTTTTTGTTACTTTTTTTCTCTCACTCTCGTGCTGATATCATAAGAACATGTTCTTAGTTTTTTTTATCTGTAATATCAACATTCTCTTTTGTTCTCTTAGTTTTTTGCTGAAATATTAATTCATAAAATAGTAGGGTCATAAAAATTGATATAAACAGATATTTTTATTCAATTTCGGTATAAGAATACAAGCAAATACTCAAATGAAATTATCCAAATCAAACAAAATTCTAATTTAGTCTATGGATTCGTCATGCAACAAGTCGTTCCAAAAATAATTATGCTACTAACAAGTCATAATTTATAATATAGACAACTGAGCTTGTATATTATTGAACTTTATCACTGCATTCAAGTGACTGATTCATCTTAATAATAATAAGAGCGAATTGTTCGTGTAATTTAATCTAATGCAATCAAATACTTACATTGTTATGTTCGATCAACAAAAAACAAAGGTGTTTCAATGGTGATATTATCTTAAACCCTGAATAAATTATTTGTTAATGTAGTAAAGATCAAAATTTATTGGTAAACTATTTGATTATAATTATGTATTAGATTTTGAAGCCATATGCCATCAAGCTAATCGTAGCTGAAAACAAGCATCGTCTGATCATATTTTGGGAAATAATTCAATTTCATTATTATTTATTAGAAGCGGAAATCAATACTATCATTGATATTTATTACAGGTACATACGATCAACAATGAAAATTTATTGAAATAAAACGTATTTTAATATCATAATTATTATTCAATATATAGCCAATCATACTCCAAAATTTGATATTGTAGAGAAAGACATTCAAGGATTTCTAGTGAAACATTTACTGATTTGTTTAGAAGTTAAGAATTGAAATCGTGATATTGTAACTTGAATAATATGTGGTTATTCTGGTATATGAACAAAGTCATCATTCAAACTAAAACAAAACCAATTTTACCAATGAATGAATTGATTTAAAATATTTATATATGAACTATTATTCATCAAATATTAATCGAGAAATGAAAAGAGATTTTCAAAAAGAAAAAATTTAGTTCGAATAGCATAATTGTTAATTCAATATGAGCTAATGCTTAAATTAATATGAAAAGAACTTAAATGAAAAAATTAACCATTTAATTGAAGAAGTGTCAATAATCTTTCTGCTTCGATTATTCTACTGTCGTCAATCATATTTCGTACTTTTTTTCGATAAAACGAAAATTCTCGAAGCTGATCGAAATCGTATAAAATCCTTCATCATTAAATGTTCGTATCTTTGTTTACAATATAATTAAATAAAAGATCATATTTCATTTAAATCTTGTATAATCATGAAATATCTATGTTGTATGAATATTCGTATTTATTAATTTTGCATTACATATATTTTTTGTTAAAAAAATATGTTATCAGTTTATTTTTATTATCATATATATTTTGTTAAGAATAGATGAGAAAGAAATAAAAGTTGCACAATAATGTTGCTGTATCAGTTAGTGTATATTTTTTTTCTTATTGCTATTCAAAGTACGGAACATTTATAATGTAAATGGTCCTTTCGGTAAAGTTCATTTAATTTTAATCGAAGTATTGGTATCGTTTCTCATTTGGTTCGTTCAACTGTTGTAGAAATAAGTGATTTAAGAGTTTCATCAACACATTATTCTAATAATGATGAGATTTATGTTTCTTGGACACCATTATCATCAGATTTATGCAAAGATGATTTTATTGAAATTTATTTTGTTGAAAATTCAGTTAAAACAGGTAAAAAGAAGGTCTAGTCCAATTAAATTATTAATAAGTTTAAAAATTGTTATTTTAATTTGTGTTTTGTATAAGGTGCTTGTGATTATGTTGATTATGAATTTATAGAATCTGGCCAAGATAATTCAACATAGTTGATGATTAATTTACGTCGTCAATTAGAATTTTGTTATTATTCACGCCATGAAAATTGTTCTGGTAATTATACATTTATAGCAAAATCTCCGATCGTTGAACCACTTCATTACAATGAACCAACACAAATTCATTTAGCTTTCGGTGATCCAAATGATCAAATCTATGTTTCATATGCAACTAATTCAAACGAAATGATTCCTCAATGTTCATATGGTTTAGATTCCTCATCACTACATTTTCAAGTAAATGGTACAACAATAACTTATAAGGCATCGGATATGTGCGAAGGAAGAGCTAATATAACAGGTCCACAAACATTTATTAAGACTAGATATATGCATACTATGCTTCTTAATGATCTTCGTCCATCAACGATTTATCATTATCTAGTAGGTAATGATGAACATGATTGATCACCTATATATCGATTCATAAATTGACCATCAAATACTGATGATGAAGTAAATCTGATTACTTATGGTAACATGGATGTATCTCCTATTCAATCAGGTGCTAGAGCTACTATTGATCGAATATCAGCAAAAGTTCTATCGAATAATGTTACAGCTATATTACACATTGGTGCATTATGGAATGCATTTATGAGTCAAATTGAAGCAACAGCATCTCGTATTCCATATATGGTTGAAATTGGAAATCATGAATGCGATCATGTTACTGGAGGAGATAAAGATCCTAGTGAAGAACAAGGAGACGGAGGATTTCAACCTATATGGTCAGTATCAGATTAAATTCATAACTTAGATCGTTCATTCTTTACTATTATGATAAAATATGTATATGATATTCGTTTATATTATCGACTAGAAAATCTTTTCTTGAATTAAAATATGTTTAATCTTCTAGAGGCAATTATGGTTATGATTCTGGTGTTGAATGTGCTGTTTCAATGGTAAATCGTTTTCATTCTTCATCGAATTGCAATAAACTTTTTTGGTATAGTTTTGATATTGGACCAGTTCATCTAGTTTATTATTCTACTGAACATAATTTTCATCGATTATCACCACAATATGTATGGCTTGAACAAGATCTTCCTTCGGTCGATCGTATTCGTACACTATGGTTAATTGTTGCTTCACATCGACCTATGTATTCATCGTTAGTAGGAATTGATTTAAGTAAAGTAATGTTACAACTTTACATAGAAGCCCTTCTCTACAACTATCATGTTGATCTCAATTTATTTGCACATATTCATTCATATGAACGAACATGTCCAACGTATCAATACACATGTATAGATGATGGAATAACACAAGTATTGATTGATATAGGTGGACATGACTTGACATATGGTTCGTATACAGGTACACAATGAAGTATTTATCATGATATATACTTTGGATATACTCACATACAAGCTAATAAAACACATTTAACATTTAGCTATTATCATACGAAGGATGATAAACTTACTGATCAATTTCAACTTAATAAATGAAAATAGATTCATATTTATTTAAATCATTTCTAATTTAGTTATTATGACAAACAGAATATATTTCTTTTCATTGAGAATCTTAATTCGTATATTCAAATAGATCATTATTAGTAAAAAAATAGAATAACTCTTAAAAAGAAACAGATCAATGTCTCGAAGTAATATTTATAACTATGTAGTCAGTTGTTGAAAATACATGAAGGGATCAATATCGATATTACATAATCTCTAAAGGAACTCTATATATTTATTGCTAATAGAGTCATAAATCGATAGAGTGTTAGCAGCGATGATGAACATCTTCTATAATTCTTTCTATGATAACTTACGAATCGCACTAATCAAATTTGCAAAACAGCATTATCTGAATACTTTTCAAAAACTAGTCGAGAACGTTTGCTGCTATCTCATTATTTGTTATCTGTCGTCAGCAACACATCCTTCGATATAACGTGCGCTATACAAGCGATATTTATCGTTAGCAGCTAACACCCGTAATACATTAGCAATCAACTGGCATTAATTCGATACTTAAATAGTTGATTAGTGTCTGACCGGCACTCTATTACCGATGTTCTATCGGTTCTTTTGAGCGCCGCGATATACTAGCGGCAATGCGAAAAAATAACCAGCATGAGTAAGCAATAAGCCCCGTGATTCCTGTCAATCTCGACCGACTGAAGAATAAATATTTATTTGATGACATTTGCCACTTGAGGCGTTTCTTTTTTACGTCGTTATACTTCCTAGTAGCTCTATGGGACTTCGATACATCTATATAAAAATATAATTAACTTCTTTTTCTTTTAATCTAAAAACGAAAGTCTCGACTTGAGTATCTAACTTTCTTTCATTTTTACCATGTGTATCGTGATTTAAAAGAAAGCTTTTGTAGATTTTCCCTATGAAATTGAAAGAATTTCTAATAATTTTTTTGTTAATATACTGTCAGTCAACAAATAACTCATCTTGGTTTTATGGACCGGACATGTCAAACAGTTCGACAAAATATGCAAAATATTTTAAAACTTTCTTTCATCTCCGACACATTATTTTTAACACACTAGTGTTGTCTAAGATAAAATTAAAAATTAACGTCTTCTTTTTGCTTATCTTTCATGGACATTTAAAAGAACATAAAGAACTTTCTCTCCACTTTATATTTGCTATCCTTCTTTGCTGGTTCATAAGATCTACAGAAAATTCTTTTCATAAAAAAAAAAATTTTCTACCTTATTACTAAAGTCCCATACGAAATCTTTCCAATGACAAAAATTTCAAATAATTGCTTTTTTTCGAAACCATATACAAAATCAAAGCAAATGATAACTGATGTGTTATAAAATTGTTTAGTAAAAAAAATCTACTAACAAATAAATAATGGTATCAGTTAAAATTGGAAGTATTCTTACGTGCGTAAAACGGATAAGCGATACTTGGTTTGACTCCTGCGAAAGGATCCGGTTTTTCTTCGTTTTGTTGTTATTTCTTCAAGCTTCTCAGGCCTGGATATGAATCATAATATCAAGCTCACACAGGTATATGTCATCGCAAAAACTAATAAGCTTGTTTGCCTGTAAGATTATTTGATTTTTCATGAAAGTGTAATTCTTCGAAGAAACGCATTCGTTCATATAATTTCTTGGAAGCCTTCAATCTTCATTAAATAATATTCAGTTGACATGGTAAGAAGTACAGCAATTCGTTCTTTTCTATATATAGATTTTTTAGTAAACATAATCACTTCCATTAAGCATACAACATATATAAAGAAAGGTTAACCATAACGAAGCAATATCACATATTACATATAAACTACAATCGAACAAAGTAAGTGATTGTATGTTAGCATAACTAAATGTTTCTTGGTATACACTTGAATATGCAACTTAGAGAATTCGTCCAGAAATTTTATCTATGACTTTAAATACATATGATATTGGAAGAAATTTTCTTACCAAATAAATTGTTTTCTTTTAATTTGAAAGATTTTCATGTGATCTTTTACATGTTTTGTCGAGAAACATTATTTAGCACTTAACCTGTTTTAGTTGATCGAAAATGTCTGATGATGATAACAGCATTGAAGATAAAGTAAATAACATGCTTTCTTTGGCTGATGGTGCTGATGACCAGATTGCGGCTCTTCAGGAATTGGAAAGAATACGACAAGAACTCGAAAAAGAATATCTTCGTTCACAAGAAGCAAAAGAAGAGACAAACAATAATAATTCAGTTCAGCAATCTGAAGAAAATAATTCGAGTGAAACATCACAATAAGATTTTGTAAAAGACCCTTTATTTCGAAGATTAAATAATGTTTTTTTGTTATTCAAGAATCTTTATGACTTTGTTCAACTTCATTACATATTATTTTGCTTTCGTTCGCATTGTTTTTCAATAAAATTATACACTAAACAACTTATTCAATAATGCAATTTTATTGAAAAGTAGTTTTCTTAATCTTACTAAAGGTCAAATGTTATTGAAAATATCTGAAAGTATGCTGTTTTTCTTCTTTCAAAAAAAAAAATTGTTGACGTCGATCTTGTTTTTCTATACATCTTTTTTAAAAAAGAATATTTCTTGTTACTAACTCCAATTTTTAAATATTATAAATAAATTTGATATAATTTAATCAGTGGCATCTGCAAGAATTTGGATATTGGGACGAAGATAAAAGAAGTTTTTCGATGAAAGAATATCAAATTCAAATTCTTCCCATTGTTTATGATGTTAATGAAAATTTTTGATTGCTAGAGAAGTTGGACATTCGCTTCCTTTTCACTTTCGATATTCGCAAATTTATATTTATTATTTGGTTTCCATGAAAAATAATTCATAAATTGAAGAATTTAATTAAATTTTATTTGAAAAATAAACATTTTCAAGAAAAACACGGAAGCCTATCATATAAAATCAATTATAATAAATAAGGCATAGTAGTTGCTTTAAAATTAACATCAATAATTAATGCACTATCGTCTTTAGATCAAATTAATCCTATAATAAAATATTTTTTCATAACGTCTGGAAAACATATTAATACAAGTCATCATGCAAACTATCAATTCTACTTGAGTTGAGTTCTATATAGATGATCGTTGAAACCACTAAATAACTTGGTATAGAACAATAGTAAAATAAGAAATCACTAAGCTCAATAATCTTCTTGATCATAGAGACGAATGAAAATCTCGAATGACAAGGTAAAAAAAATCTAAATAAAATAAATATCATGAAACATACTATTGATGGGTAGAATTCAAGTATTTATCTAGAAGAAAAGATTTTTTTCCTGATTTTTGAATATTTAATGATTGCATTAATAGATATCTTTGTTAGAAGATAAAATAGTGTTTCATTGAAATAATGTATTCAGATTAAAATAATGATCAATAACAATGGAAGCAAACATAAATTTTGATTGAGCAAAAAATTTCTTTGCGATTCATACGAACTGCTTATGAAACACAACTTAAAACGAATGTTGAAGTGTAGAGCAATATTTTCTGATGTCTTCAAGTCATCGACAATAGTATTAACCTTAGAAAAGCTACTAGAGTATCTCAGAACCAAAAAAAAAGAATTTCTTAATTGTTAGAAAACTACTAAGAGAGTTGTGATGATTTCTCAAGCAATCAAAGTTTGACGATTCAGTCTCTTTTATGCTTGCAAGACTTTTTACAGTCATACAGTTATTTTCATCCATTTATTTATTGATAAGAATGCATGAGCGAACAATACTGCGGATAGTATCTTACTGAGATTGTAACAAAGATGAAGCTGCGAAAGAACTCAGAAGAAACTGTTACTGCTCATTTTTTGGCCATTCTGCATATCTATAGACTAATATAGATTTTATTTATCAGAAAATAATTTTTTGTTTGAATAACCAGAACTTAATTTTTATAAAATGATTACTATTGATTCTCTTCTTTCAAAAAAGTTATTATTGTTTGATGCTGGGTAATCACTCGAAAACAAAACCTATTTGTTGTAAGCAGTAACAAGTCGAACCATAACCTTCTATTTATTTGTTTTACGTTTCTTTCCTTGATTATATGTAATTAGTAGCATGAAAACTAAATTCTTAAACTGGAATTTTCTTCGTATTTTCAAAATATTGATCCAAATAGTTTTATTGCTCAATTAAGTAAAAGCAAGGCTGGTCATTGAGAGTCTCTTGACCCTCGAATAAATGCTTAATTCTTTCTGTATAATATACTATTTTATGAGCTCAATCGATACTAATATCAAATGAATGGATGAAGGTGAGTATGCTGTGTAGTACTGGTTCCCACCTATACAACCAATCACACCCACGTTCGTACACCTACAAGTACGTTCAAACTCATCTACCGTCACACTCATACACTACACCAGCATATTCCAAGACCCAAGTTCACGCTTACATCCACACCCTCACTCCAACTAAGATCCACACATCCACCTGCACATCACACCCAAGACATGTAAAGCATTGGACAACCACATCCGCACCCGCATCGAAAATCTGACTGACGGAGAGCACAGTAGCGACAACGTGCGATGGACTGAAACTACAACAAAAGTGAACCATCTTAAATCTTAAATAACTAGTCTAATGTTTGAGAAATATATATATGAATACGTAATTATACACGTGCATGCAAATAAACCAACATAGATACAAACTTATTTTATTTCCTAAGATTTACCTATCAGTCGATGGAAAATATACAACGCAGATCTTGAAAAATAAAAATCTATACTGTTTGTTTTGAATGGATTCTATTTTAATCTGAATTCGTTGAAGATAGTTCTTAAAAGTTTGTAAATCAGGATGATCAAGTGCAAGACATTGACTGGCAATATCAACAGCATGTTGTTCATAGTCGATAGCTTTTTGTAAATCTTCCAAACCAACAAATGCAGTTGCTATACTAGTATGAATAGCAGCGATGTCAGGATGATTAGTTAGTAAAGTTTTCTCATGAATTTTCAAAGCTGGTTGATAGTTTTCAAGTGCTGTTGAATATTCTTTCGTTGATTCATATGGAATGTCAATATTATTATATATAGTAGCTAAGTCAGGATGATGGGGAGGAAGTATTTTTTGTTGAATCTCAAGCGTCTTTGTATAGCATTCGAGTGCAAATGAATATTCTTGCATAATTTGATGCATGACACCAATATTGTTGTATGTTATAATAAGTGTTAGATGATTTGGTGTGAGAGATTTACGTGGCAGCTAATGATGGATGATTTGGATCTAAAGATTTCTCTTGAAGTTTTTGTGTTTTTTGATAGTATTCAAGTGCTATGTTATAATCTCCCATTGATTGATAAAGATGTTCAATGCTATTATAGGAAGTAGAAACTGATGGATGACTAGCAGAAAGTGATTTTTGTCGAGTTTTTAATGCTTTTTGATAGAATGACAATGCAATTGAATAATTTCCTATTGATTGATGAGTAATACCAATATTATCGTATGTAGTAGCAAGTTCAGAATGATTAAGTGAAAAAGTTTTTTCGTGAATTTCTAATGCTTTTTGATAGGACATAAGTGCTTGAGAAAATTCTCCCATTAATTGATTGATTTCACCGATATTATTATAAGTAATAGCTAAGGATGAATGATATGATGTAAATGTTTTTTGTTTTGTTCCAAGTGATTTTTGAAAAAATGATATAGCTTGAGAGTAATCTCCCATTTCTCGATGAATAAGACCAATATTATTATATGTAATAGCTAATGATGAATTATATGGCGAACAAGTTTTTAATCGAATTTGAAGAACTTTTTCAAAATATTTTAATGCAACTGGAAAATTGTCTATTTCCATTTGAAGTTCACCAATATTATTATAAGTAGTACTAAGAAAATGATGATTAGGAGGTAAAGATTTATGTCGAATTTCAATTGCTTTTTTATAAAATGAAAGCACTGATGCATAATCACTCATTTCATCACAAATAAGTCCTAATTCATTATATATATGAGATATTTTTGATGAAACATTTTCCGATAATAAACTAAGAAGAATAAAATAAATTTCTTTAGCGTGATCAAAATCACATACAATGATTATTATCTTAGATAATTAATACCATCCAGCTACATCTTGAGTTTCTTCTCAAATTAATTTGTCAAGGTATGTCATCTGTTTATCATTAATTTCAGTTAATTTTAAATTAACTTGCCATAAATGATCTTCTATTTGTTTCACTTCAAGAATACGAAAAACAGAATGCATTGAAAAGAGAACATATTTGCCTTGTTCAGCAAGATAACTTAAATTTGTTAATGAAACAAAAGGAATTGATGCTTGAGTAGATTCAACTTCTATACGAAATAAAACTCCAACAGCATTATTATTAATACGTTCATGACTAGTATCATCCAATGCTGTTTCATAATTTGTATCTGCTAACATGAAATTATTAAATGATAGAGGATTATCTTGACTTGTTTTCATTTTTTTTTGAAAATCATCATTTGATAAATTTTGACTTCGATATGAAATTGTCGATATTTTATCATTTATTTTTATTTGTTCTAATTGTCGATGAAAATCTTGTATAAAAAGTCTCATTTTAACAATAACTTCAATATCTTGTGTTTGTAAAGCTCTATTAATCATAACATAAATAAAACACTTTCAAGTATACCATCATATTGGTGAATGATTATGATAATTATTTTTAATTCATTTTTATTTTCATTATAATGATTACGACAAAATTGTGCTAAACGTTTATCATCTTTTGCATCGTATTTCATATCAAGAATAATTTTTTTTAACTAGAAACCAGTAAATAAATAATTGATTAAGTTGTATCAAATCTTGTTTTAAATAACTGTCTAAAGAAATCATACTTATAATAAGTATATCTTGTTCATATTGTCTTGTATCTCGTTTAATAAAACTATATATTGAATCAACTTTATCACAAAATACCTTTTACTTTATCATAATCTTATTGAGAATATTCTGTATTTTGATCATTATCAGTAATAATATAGATTGAATGAATATGAGTCATTGATCTAATGCAACGGCAGATTTCTTTGACCAGAGAATCAGCTAAAATCATTAAAATTTTTGAATCTTTCATTCTAGTAAGAGATTGTAGGCATTCATTAACATCTGTAAATGTATTTATGAGAGCAGAAATACGTTGAAGACGAGCAATTGAATTCCGATCAGTTGAATCAGAATCATTTACATTACTATCGAGCCAAACAGGAACAAATTTGTTATTTATATTATATAGAGTTTTATCTCTTGTATTAGTAAATTTCTTCGTAAGAGAATTTTGCGTCTCGTTCGATACTGATCGGATAGACTCAGTACCATTGTACGCTTTTGAAGTAATAACTCTCATGAAAATTTACAGTAAACTATGCTTATTCATCTGACTTTGCACTCAATATGAATATTGTTATTATTTCGTACATCGTATTATTGTACATTCTTTTACTTAGAAAAAAAGGGCTTGAAGAAAAATGAAATTGAAAATAAAAGTTCAAATAAACGATCAATAACAACGAGCATATCGATTACACAATTGTATTTGAAGTGTGTATTCGAATCTTTCATAAGTTAATCCTCTTTCACTTAAAGCATGTTATATGGTGTCACCTACAAATTCTATAAGAGCTTTCATTCTTTTAAACATTCTATTGAAGCACTATGTCAAATATTAATGAGTACGATTGTTGAGAAAACAATTGATATGGTGGAATCTATCTACACAATACAAAACATTGTTTGACTCAATAAAAAGCCAAGCAAAGATTTTTTGCTCGAGAGAAAATATCACTCATTTGATGATTTCTTAAAAGAAATTATCAGTCTAATAGACGAATTACTATGCAGAATAATGCCAACATTTTATGTAATTGTAAGGGAGAGAAATAAATCTTTAGACGTCACACGACATAATGATATTAAATTCAAAACAATTTTTGAGAAAAAATCTATAAATAATTATAATTGAATGATAAATAAATAATTGATAGAGTTGATTGTGTCAGAGAAACAGAAAAATATGTGGAATAACTCTTTTTACTATTCTAATTTGAAAAATAAACACATTATTCGATCGTATATGAACAGTGAAACTTAAAAAACTTTTATTTGTTTCATTAGAAATCTTTTCTACGATTTTGTTTTTATGTTTTAACATTATATTACGATATAATTAGTCTTATTTAATCAATAAAAAATCATATTATTCTAGTTTATTTTCATAGTCTTTTTGAAATCAATTAAAGTATTTTTCAAGAATTTATCAATTAGAAATGGAAGAGTCTCATTAAAAAATCTATTCGGTTTTTTTTAATTAGTTTTGATTTTATATGTACAAATAACCTAATATTTTCTTTGAGTATTGACAAGACTTTCATATAAAAAAAACTTATTTTCCATTAAATGTCAATGAATCTAATCTAATTTCATATCAAGTCTAATATTAGTAAATTAATTAAACGATTGATCATTTTTTTATATATTCTTGATGGATTTTCTGTACAATATTTAAATATTTTTCTTATTTTTTCATATGCATTAATAAAATTCTTTTCAGTCAATAAACTGTTTAATAGTTTCATGATGATCATACTCATATAAAATCTGAATAAAATTTTCAAATATGCATAAGGACGCAAATAAAATTCTATTTATAGTATTAATCTCGAGGAAATTGATTCATATCTAAGTAAGATTAAATAATTCAGAAATATTTGAATTTTACTTTGATTATACACTTAAAATAAAATTTAATTTAATATATAAGAATTTCGTTATTCATTAATATAATAAAATAGATGTGAAAAAGAGTTGAAATGTTCTATGAAAATTTTTACGTTGTTAAATAAAGCAAATAAAAAAAAATGTAAATAATTATCATTTATGAATAAAATGAATATTTCATCCCAAGATAAACATGTTTTTCTCTATTTTATTAATTAAGATTTCAAACAAAAAAAATGAACAAAAACAAAAAAGAAACATCGAGTCTAAATAAATAAATAACTAAATATAAAAGTTCGTTAATGATGATTATCTAATAGATGAGTATTGATTTTTTGAATATATTGTTGACGATTTGAATGATCAAGTTTTAACCATTGTGTAATAATTGAAGTCCAATTATTAAGTAAATATGGAATATTATATCGATATTGATCATAATTAAATTTTTCAAACCACATTTGATTAACATATAAAAACAATGGATCATATGAAGATCGATCTATAAATGGTTTTTTACCAAAAACCATCAAAATTTTTGTTAAAACATTTATAATTATATTAAAGTCTTCTTTTTCATTATCATCAACTGAATCAAGACCTAAGATTCGTTTTAATTCAATTTCAAAATTTGATACTTGTCTATCTTCAATTAATTCAATACCTATAAAAATAAAGAAAAAAAAACATAAATCAATATAATAATATTCAATAAAGAAGACCTTCATTTTCAATTTTTTGACTAATTTGTTTAATAACAAATTGAATTGTTGTTAATGATTGTTGTTTCCATTGATCAGCTGTTATATTTTTAATCATACGTGATGCTGACATTTGACATGATGATTCAATATAATCATAAAAAAAAATTTCAATACCATTATTTGAAATAAGTTTTTCAACAATTAAACGATTTTTTGAATGAGAATAAATATAATTATTAATTGCATCAGATAAAGCATCACCTAATGATTGACGATATAAATCAATTGTTGTTAAACGATGAATTTGTTTCAATGCACGTATTGACATTTTTTCATCTGAACAATCAACAACTAATGATGCCAATACATTATTTACGAAAAATGAAAATTCCTTAACAAAAAAACAACAAACAAATGCTATCAAAAGAATTAGCTTTTCTTTTTTTTTTTTTTTATAAATATAAAAAAAACTCACATATGCTGCCAAATCATCTGCAGCTTTTTCTTCTAAATCATAATCTCGTTTATCATCTGGTAAATTACGTTGTTCATATGATTTTAAACGTAATGATCCAACATCAGGCATTTCATATAATATAAGATCTTCTAATAATGGATCAGCCATTATTAATTTCTAAATATACACACACAAGTTTTAATATCACATATGCAATAAATTATACATATTAATTACTATGCTATTATTCATATTTATTTTTTAATTTACTAGAAAATTTTATTTACATAATGAACTAGTTTAAATATTATAGTGAAAACACTATTTATACACGATATGGAATAGTATAACAACAACATCTCATATAGTATATTTTAGTCATTATGAAAATTTTTTACATGGCAGATGGACATGTAATCTTCGTTCTTAGAAACCTTTTTTTCTTTTGCTCAGAAGTGATTTGATATCACTCACGATAATCAATATTCGAAGAAAAAAAATCTTTTGACGTAAAATACTTGAGAAGAATCATTGTAAACTTTTTCGAGAAAATTTTTTTCGTTAAAAAATATCTGGTGCCATATAGTATCCAATATAGTTTCGTGTGGTGATTTTATATTAAAAGACTTTTTCTTTAATCGATACTAAACGATTTGCACATTGAGAATATCTATTGAGCGTTCCTATCGACAGCAAAAATTTATATTAAAAATTGAAGAAAATTCTAATGTCGTTTAATGTGAAGATTTATTAAGAATTATAAATTTAATAAAGAAGAAAAGCTTTTCATTTCATCTTCATAAATTTAGTGTTATAAAATAATTTTTATTTCTCCATAAAATATTCGAATAAAATCATCTAAAAATTCTTACTAATAAATGTAAAACATACTTCAACATGAAAAACAGAATTAAATTGTACAGCTAATTCATGTAATCGTAAACCAAGATCACCAGTATCCATATTCATTAATTTTTTATCTTTTTTATTGTCAAAAAATGCTCGTAATAAATAACGAATTTGATAAAGAATAGATGGAATTTCAAACATCAAAACTTTTCTTGTTAAAAGAAGAAAAAAAAAACAAAAAATTCAATAATTTAAATTAAATCAAATAGAATTTACTTTTGAATAATTTGTTGAAGATTTTTTATTGATTTTTTAGCTGTTGCAATTGGTTTTCGCCATTTTTTCATACAATTAATTTTTTTTTCTATTAATAATTTTAAATCTAAATAATTAATAAGATTTTGTTGGTGATCTTGTGTTGCTTCTTTAATAAATTGTTGAGATTGTTCAATAAAACCAAGATGATATGCACAAATAGCTGCACGATAAAATCCTTTAAAATTTCCATCTTTTTTTAATTTTAATGATTGTTTAGCATCTTCATAACCAGAATAAAAATTCTTATCTTGAATATAAGCAGCTGAGCGATTTGAATATAATAAATATAATGGAAGATTTTCTTCAACATTATTTTCAATAAGTTTTATTGCTTCACTGTACGATTCAATCGCTAATAACCATTCATTATTTGAATAATATTTATTACCTTGACTTTTATATTCCATTGAAGTTAACGACATTTTTTTTTTGTAAATTTTTAATTAATTGTCAACTTTAAATCTAAAATAATATTGTATTTATGATAATATTCAATAGAAAATAAGATAAACAAACGAAAAAATAAATTCTAAAATATGATAGACATATTTACTAAAACAATGTTCAATTCAATGAAATGTCTTCTTCATCTGATATAGATTTAATCTTTCTTTTTCGCTCTAAACATACATTTAATTTGATCTATTGGAATATATTCTGTCTATATTCTGATCATCGATAGAAAAGAAATAATGTTTATGCATCAGAAAATCTGACGATCGATAACGAATGTTCTTAGCTATAATGTTTTCGTTTATCATCTATTAAAATTTAACGATCGATTTTCTATTCGTCAATAAAAGTAAAACATGTGCGCAAATTATTTTACGATTGTTTAAATGAAATTGTTTCTTCTCGAGATCAAAATAGAAATAGGCAATAAGAATAACGGACAAATAAATAGTTACAAAATTATAAAGAATACTAAAATATAAGAAAGAAACTAAAATATCTAGGTCACGTACAGATAGTTAACAATCAAATAGATATTCAAAGTATATTTTCTTTACATTTAATATCTAATGAAATTAAATTTAATTTCAATTAAAACAACTTGAACTAATACTTTTTTTTGTTCTAGTAGAACGAAAAATTTTAATCGACAAGTTCAGTTATTGCATATACAAATAAGACTAATTCTTCTTTTTTTTTATTCCGATTCAATGAACTTGAAAAGCATTTATGATTTTAGTTTGTAGCATAAGAAATAGTTCGAAGACATAAAACTTGACTACAACTCTTGCATTTATCAATTCTTGGAATAATTAATATTAATATATCATCGTTATTTCAATTTATTGATCATTCGTTTCAATAAAATATTGCATTTAATTGAAATTTCTTTATTGATAACTTTGCTTTAATCTTTTTAGAGATTCTATTTCAATTTCTAACATAAATGCATTACATTTCAAGATATATGTCTATTAATGTTCTACTAATTTTCATGTCATCTTTTCAATATATCTTTGAAACTAACATTTAACAAAATAATAGTAACTGATAAAACAATAAAATAATTTTTCTAAAATATGAACTAAAATTAAAGGAGTAGATTAATTGAGAACGAAAAATGAATTCCTTTTAGTTATTCAATTGATTAATATATAACGATTTTTTTACTGATTAAATTATTTAGTTTTTTTTTTGTAGAGAAAAAGCACAAGATGAACGAACTTTACAAATACTATTCAAAGTTATCATTTTCAGTTGAAATACAAAAATCACTCTTTTTTTCGATTTCGAACAAAAACACTATGCAGTGTTTCTCTTTTAATGCTTCAGTTTCTTGCGTTTTTTTGTGGTGCTGATACGACCGTATCTTGCGCTATCGTTTATATTCATTTTTTTTTGTTGATATATCACTACAAAAAGAAGCCTAATGGTGGCAAATGTGATGATCCTAATGCACAATCTACTGATGGTTCGTCGGCAAATGGAAGTTTTGGTTTATGGTATGCAAATGTTACTTTTTCGACTGGTGACTATGGTTTATTAACAATGACTTCACCATTACGGAAAGGTGATGGTTTTTATGTATTTCAAGAATGTGTTCATGTTCATGGAATGAAACTTCAACATCGATGTTCACTTTTAGTTCGCAATTTCACTGGTGGTTATACAGAACATATTCATAAAGATCCAAAACTTGTTCCACAATGTCCGAAATCTCTCCTTTCACCCGGTCTTGAAATTGAAATTGTTATCAAGATCAACTGATATTTGTATTATTTATTATTTTAAATTAAAGAAAAAAAGGGAATTATTATAAAATAAATAGATAAATTCAATAAAGTTAATTTGTAAATGGACAATTATAAGTAATTGAAACTTTTTCAATAAAATTAATTTGAGGATAATTATCAATAATCCATTTATTTCCTTTTGTTGCATATTGTTCTTGATCAACACCATCGCTACTACCTAAAACAAATTAAACTCTCAAATAACCATCCATTGTTAAAGAAAAGAAATTCTAAAAAACAACTTTGACATGCCAATTAAAGTATTAATAATAACTGAATGAAATTTGTTTTTTAAAAAACAAGTATTTAAAAGTCTTCATTTGAACTTTGTGGAAGCTCATTCAATTTTTGTACCCTTGTCTATTCTGCCGTAAAACTTTGGCATTCCTACCCTAATGCATCCTAAAATTTCTCGGTTTTGATAGATGTCAACATAAAGTTCTCTTTCTCATGTGTTTTCAGTATATTTTATTGATTTCCAATAATAGTTAAATAAAAAATATTAGATGTTTCAAAAGTTTCGTAAAGCTAAAATATCATGAACAATGTCGCGATTCAATTGTATCTGCTCTTTTATAAAGTTCTTTCGCTTGTAATGAGATAGTGTTTGACTGAACTTGTCGACACTAACAAAAGACTCTTTCCAACACTAATTTGTGCATAGTTCAATAACTCTTTGTCCTACTAGTTCAATACTGATTCTTGCTGCTGATCAAAGATTCTTAATAATATGAGAAACACCTTAATTCTACCTTAACAACTTTTTTTACTATTCGTACCCTATCAAACACGATAGAACAGGAGAACAGAGAAGAACTCTGTTTGAAATATTGTTTTAATTAGTGATTCTATGAGACAATGATGTTCATCTATGAAAAATATTTCACGAAAACAATTTTATTTAGAGATGGCTCAATCTATAAGAAAATTTTTAAGTAAAACATTCAAATAACTATAAAATTAATCGAAGTAACTGTTCTAATCAATATTCAACTATCATAATAACGTGAAAAATTCTTTCAATAGAGAGCCTATGCTTAGCTGGTTAATAACCTTTCTAGAAAAATTCTTATTAAAAATTAAAATTACCGATTCATTCTCGTTTGATGTAGTTTTTTTTTAATCGAATATTTTATTGGAAAACATTTGAATTTTTTCAGAAAATATTAACTTGTTCATTGATATATGATTCATTGAATACATCTCAATGTGTTTAGTCAACATGTAAGAAATGAATTTAACTTAATTATTTAAGCAAAAAGATTAAAATAATATATCGGTCAATTTTTAACTAAAAACAATATTTTTTTTTTTTGTTGAATAATAAATCATTCTATTAAAATTTACGTTGAAAAACTTTTTTCAGATGAAATCATATATAGACAAGTATCATATCAAAAACTTTTATTTAAATAATACCTGGTGTTGGATTAAAAATAGCAAGAGCTGTGTCAAAGCCAGTTGTCACAATTCCTAAAATTTAATAATGAGAACATTAGATTAAAGAAAATATTTCATTTATTTAACCTAAAGGTGAGAAGCCCAAAGAATCTAAACGTGGATTATTAACATAATTAATAAATAATTGAGTTGTACGAGTATTTGGACCAGCTGTTGCATATGAAAGTGTACCTTTGACATTTGACATTTTAACTGGATCTAAATAAAGATAAATTAAATAAAGAAATGATTAAATAAATGTTATTATAAAACCATCTTGAATCGGTTCATTCCAAATCGTATTTTGTATTGGATCACCACTTATTCCAAATTGAACAACAAAATTTGGAACAACACGAAAAAAAGCTGATGGAACCGAATAAAAATCAGAATTTATAATATCAAATAAATGATTTGCTCCAATTGGTGACCAATTTTGTGTTATATTTATTATTATTGGATTTTTTGAACCATTTACATCTGTATCAAAACGTATGCAATAAGTTGACGGATAACCATTTATATATAATTTATATAATGTTAAAATAAATAATAAATTGTATAATATTGACATTTTTATCTGCAAATAAGACTGTTTCAATGAAAAAAAATTTATTTCTTCATCTCATGTTTACTTTTAAATAAGTAATTTAGATTACTACTTATTAAATATTATTTTTTTTATCAAATGATTCTATTTTATGATGAGATAATTAGCATATTTTATTTATCAAACAAAGATTTTTTTTAAACAATAATATTGTTCGTCGACAAACGTTTCTCGATAGACATTTTGCTGACATAATCTTTGTGAAGAAATACCAATGTTCTAAAATGTCAGCCTACTTTTTTTTTTGTCTATTTGTCCAATAATAAATGTGCAAAACATCTACAACATATTGAGGATTTAAGATCAAGAAGTTTGGGATTTTATTTGGATTTGAATTCAACTTTCTTGAAGCTGTTGGTGGAAGTGGATTTGGGAAATTAGGTTCGACTTTGGTCTCCAACAACTCAAATGTCGCAGATCTTGTTAAAATAAATTGTCAGAAACAAACTTCTACTTTACTAGACGAGCAGAAAAAAAATCAGAAAATGGATCGGAGAGTTTGCTCGAAGTCATTTGTATTTAGACTCGATCTTGAATCCCCAAATCATTTTTGGTTTTGCCACACTTCTGGTTAAGTTGAGAGTTCTTTCTAACACTTTATTTTACCAAAATAGTGGAGTTTGCGTCATCGAAGAACAGAAACAATCTTAAGCCGTCAAGCCAAACCGAATACCACCAAACCTCAAGACGTTACAGGTGTTGCACTCTTACTCAACAAGATAAAGGAGAAAATAACACACATAAGGAGTAAACTAATAAGAATATACATAGTGAGAAGAAAAAGGAAAAGGCCAGCACGTAGAAGGATTGAGGTGTTCTATTTTTAATTCTATTCATTTCTTCTTTACGACTAAAAGCGAGACGATGTAGGTGCAAATTTGGATATACCCTTCATCTACACCCACGCTGAAGTGAGTCGAATTTGATCTGATGAAAGTTTTATTGATCGTATTGTTATTTTGTTTCGAAGAGAAATATTTTTTGATTAACCAATAAAAAAAACAAGATTGTAGGCACCGTTTTATGATCAAAATAGAGGAATTCATAATTCAAATGATAAATGCATCATGAACTATTTCCATTGTCGACAAAAAGACGTCGACGAAATAAATTTGATAAATTTTCT